GAGGGAGGGAGGGAGGGAGAATTTTTAGAATTTAATTTTTGGCGGACACAACATCTTTGTTTGTATATGGTGCTGAGGATCCAACCCAGGCCGCACACATGCCAGGTGAGCGAGCTACCACTTGAGCCACAGCCCCAGCCCCAACACATGGTGATTCTAACCAGCTCAGAGGAAAGGCTGCAGTTTCTAACCATACAATAGGAGGCCTTACATCTCAAGAGTGATGCTCTCTTTACTTAGATGAAATTCACTTAATTTTGGAAATACCATACCTAATGTTATTCTTATATAGAAAAATTATTCTGCAAGACAGATATTTATCCTGCCCTAATACTTAAGAACTGATGTATTCTATCTACTAAATAATATTTCTAGATGATGTTGTACCCATGGAAAAGATCACTGAAAAGTCTGGAACTTTCCCTAACTACTTATGGTAACCTTGGCCTCTAAAATGTTTTGATCAATTATACATCTTAAGTGTCCATGATTTTTGTGGTTAAAAACTCTAGAGCTCAGTTTAAATAATGGCACTACTGCCTAAGGCCACACAATGACCATTGCCCTACATTTGTGCCCATTGTTTTTGCATGCTTAAAAATTAGAATGGTAAAGTTTTCTATGAAGAACCTACACAGTCATATGCCATAATGAAATCTGCTTGAGCATCTTACACTGCTATTTTACCAGCCTCTGCAGATCCATAGATAAGTTCTAGGAGTTCAACCCAGGACCTCACATGTGCTAGTCAAGCACTGCACTATATCCCCAGCACTTTGTATTTTATTTTTAGATAGGGTCTTGCTAAATTGCCCAAGATGGTCTTAAATTTGCAATCCTCTTGCCTCAGCCTCTTGAGTAGCTGAGATTACAAACATACACCACTGTGCCCAATGCTCTTTTGTTTCTTAACCTCCAAGTATTTAAGAAGGAAATGATTAAAAGCTGCCTTATCTTAAAAGTCAAAAATAGGATAAACTTAGATTGTGACATCAAATCTTACAATATTACAATTAAAATCACCCTCTGAAGGTGATAAAATAATTCAACATGAGGACAAGTATGAAGACATTCTCTTTTACCTCTAAGTGGTTAAACATATGAAATGCTTTCTATTTAAAACAGAAAGAACTTCAAACAAGTATAAATAAATTATGTCAGGCTCATTCTGTTAATAGAGGGGCATCCCTAATCTTTTTAAGCTATTGAAATAATAATGGTTTTAGCTGTTGCCACCACTCTTTCCTGGGCAATTCCATGTCCCAAGAAATATGCTGAGTGCTTCACCCATATTATTTCCAACCTTATAATCTTGGTGTTATCATCTCTATTATGTTTAGGTTTAAGAATCTTCCTCTAGAGAAGACATGTGACTTGTTTGGTATTGCCAAACTTTGTAACTGGTCCCTCTTCAGGGTCCGTGAGCTCTCAACCACACCTTAGACTTAGAAAATTTGAAATAATAAAATAGTGTGGTAGGAAGAGCACTGGATTGGGAATCCAGAAACCTCAGTTCCAACCACAGTTCTTTCATTAATTGGATGGTGGCAAGTGGTATCATCTGTTTAAGACTCAGTTTAGTTCGTATAGATAAACTGAAAATGTTGATCTAGAGCTCCAGGTGGTTTCTGAAACCCTTAAAGATTTTAGATCAATGATTTTTTTTTTAATTTTAACAATTTGTGACAGAAATGACTGAGTTGGTTGCTTAAAGAGTTTTGCATGCCGGGGTAGCAATTCCTAAGTTTCTTTGTGATAGCCAAGTAAAAGCAGTGTCCCACCTAAGTTGGAAAGAGAGTCTATATAAAAGAATAGTTGTGCCATAAGACATATTGTGTATCTGCCTTCATGGTTCCAAATTTCAGAACAGCATAGTGGGTCCTCATATTCTCTGTGTGCACACCAAATATTTCCAGATAAGCAGGATATCTTAGACATTATCTCTGTCCCTTAGCATTGAGACACACGCTAAGTATAATATCTACATGTTCCATTTACTTTTTCAATTAAAAATTGTGCTTTATTTGGTTAAGATACATCTAAAGGAATCTCTCTTACAGTAGGAAAGATCATGTATTTGCCCCCCAAAATCCGGGGGGGGGGTTGTTGTACAGGTAATCTCTTTTACTCCATATCCCTTTTCTAACATATAAAAAAAAATCATTGCCTGCAGACCTTAAAATCTGTCTTCAACTTGTCAAATCTGCAAACAAAACTATCACAAAGATCGTTTAATTCTCCAATTTCATTTTCAATGATGTTTCTTCCCAGGTAGGGTGACTGCTCCCTCCCTCAGAAATCAGGACAAGTAGAATAAGCCACAGGTGTCCATGTATCAGAAGAGATGCTGGGGAGTTCCTGGAGAGCTCTGGTTCTCTGGGCTAGAAAATGGTGATGAGTAAGAAGTCAGAACTGACATCTACTGTAATTACCACAACATCGCCCTCTGCTTTCATTTCCTAAGCTCCAGGAACATTACATGTGAAGGCAACTGGGAGCTGACTGAAGCGCATCTAAGCCTGCCTAACTCCGCCTTTGTAAGCTGGGTGGGCGTTGCCCATCTTGAGTCCCTTGGAACAATCTCACTTCAGCTTTCCTGTTG